CTGAGGGCTCTGTGGGGCAAACTTGCAAGACTCCTCAATGTCCCCTCTCGCCTTAGATCCCTCAGCGCTGCTGTTGAGGCTCCCTAGGGAATTAAATCCTTTCAGGCCTACAGCACGTGGGGGCAAGTGTCAGGGCTCCTTGACGTGCCTGCTCTGTTCCCTCCGAGGAGGGGACTCTGTGACATCTCCGTGTCCTTACTTGCCTCAGGCCCGGTCAGCATGGCGGATGAGGAGATCGCTGCCCTTGTGGTGGACAATGGCTCTGGCATGTGCAAGGCAGGCTTCGCGGGGGATGATGCCCCCCGTGCTGTGTTTCCTTCCATTGTGGGGCGTCCCCGGCATCAGGGCGTCATGGTGGGCATGGGGCAGAAGGACAGCTACGTGGGGGATGAGGCCCAGAGCAAGAGGGGCATCCTCACCCTGAAGTACCCCATTGAGCACGGCATCGTCACCAACTGGGATGACATGGAGAAGATCTGGCACCACACCTTCTACAACGAGCTGCGCGTGGCTCCCGAGGAGCACCCCGTGCTGCTCACGGAGGCTCCCCTGAACCCCAAGGCCACCAGGGAGAAGATGACGCAGGTACCGTCACTCGCCCGCCGGCCGCCCCTTAACTCTCATCTTCTTCACAAACCTCCTTCTGTTGCGGCATCCGAGCTGCGCGTGGCTCCCGAGGAGCACCCCGTGCTGCTCACGGAGGCTCCCCTGAACCCCAAGGCCAACAGGGAGAAGATGACGCAGGTACCGTCACTCGCCCGCCGGCCGCCCCTTAACTCTCATCTTCTTCACAAACCTCCTTCTGTTGCGGCATCTTAAACCTGAGTTTGTTCTTTTTTTCTTTCTCCCGACATTTTCAGGGTTCTGTACTCCCGGCATTTCTTCCCTGACGCCTCAGGTTTCTTTCATTTGTGTTTCTGCCTGCGTTCTTTGCTTTTTTTCCTTCACACACTGGTGTTTCGTTTTTTTTTTCTTTGCATGTCGGCATGTGTGTTCTAACGTGGGTGCGAGTGACCCGGCTCGTTACTTGGCGCTGACTGATTCTCCTCTTCCTTCCAGATCATGTTTGAGACCTTCAACACCCCAGCCATGTACGTGGCTATCCAGGCTGTGCTGTCCCTGTACGCCTCTGGTCGTACCACTGGTATTGTTATGGACTCCGGGGACGGTGTCACCCACACCGTGCCCATCTACGAGGGTTATGCTCTGCCCCACGCCATCCTGCGCCTGGACTTGGCTGGCCGTGACCTGACAGACTACCTCATGAAGATCCTGACAGAAAGAGGCTACAGCTTCACCACCACAGCCGAAAGGGAAATTGTCCGTGACATAAAGGAAAAGCTGTGCTACGTCGCCCTGGACTTCGAGCAGGAGATGGCCACTGCTGCCTCTTCCTCCTCCCTGGAGAAGAGCTACGAGCTGCCCGATGGCCAGGTGATCACCATCGGCAATGAGAGGTTCAGGTGTCCAGAAGCCCTCTTCCAGCCCTCCTTCCTGGGTAGGTGTGGGCCAGGGCGGTACTGCCAGGGATGCCCCCACGGTGTGGGGGTTGACATGGCCAAAATGAGGTGCTGCGTGGGTACTAACGAGCTTGTGACTCTTCTCCCCAGGCATGGAGTCCTGTGGCATTCATGAGACCACTTTCAACTCCATCATGAAGTGCGACGTGGACATCAGGAAGGACCTGTACGCCAACACGGTGTTGTCCGGAGGCACCACCATGTACCCTGGCATCGCTGACAGGATGCAGAAGGAGATCACAGCCCTGGCGCCCAGCACGATGAAGATCAAGGTAAGGAATGCTCCCTCGTCCCGCAGCGGCCGGGGCCGCAGCCGCTGGGCCTGGCGGGGGGAGGCGGGAGAAGGCCGGGCCCCTCTGACGGCCGCACCGCTGCTCTCCCCTTGCAGATCATCGCCCCACCCGAGCGCAAATACTCCGTCTGGATCGGCGGCTCCATCCTGGCCTCGCTATCCACCTTCCAGCAGATGTGGATCAGCAAGCAGGAGTACGATGAGTCCGGCCCATCCATCGTCCACCGTAAATGCTTCTAAACGGACTGCTGGCAGGCGCGCCGCGCCTGCTGCATGAGTTGTCTCACTAGTATATGTTTGCCCAGGCAAATCTATACACCTCATGCTAGCCTCATAAAACTGGAATAAGCCTTCTTTCAAAAGAAACTTGCCCTTGGAAAGTCTCTACCTGATGTTAGACAAATGTCAGCACTGGATGGTCGAGCTGTCACTTGATTTGACCTTGTTACTCGAGCTAACCGTTCCCTCGGTGTACACCTGAGCGAAATACCCTGTACAGACCCACTCCTGGCCGCGGGGCTGGCCTGGCACCTCGCCTCGGAGGAGAGCCCACGCCTGACCGGGGCTCCCGCAGCTCGCTACACTGACAGTGGCCCGTCTCCCCGCGCCCCAGGCTGGGACCGGTGTGTACAGGGTATTTGGAGTCAGACTTGCCGTACATCCAGTGTGGAGTATTCCAGATTTCCCGTAGAGGCTGGTAGGAGTCCATCGAGAATTCACTTCTGTCGCTGCCGTTCTAGCAAGGTTGGGAAAACATATCGCGTCCGAGCCTTACGAACCAGTCTTCATTCTCCTCCCCACCCGTATCCCAGTCGACATCACGGGGCTGAAGTTACTCAACTTGAGTTGCTGAAACTTTGCATTTACACCTGTAAATTTATGCATCGTTTAATTTATGTAAGATTTTTGTACGTTGCCTTAATGTTCTCACATGACGGTAGGAAACCAAAATTTGTAAGTCATCCTAAAGTTGAGAAATTGTAATGCCCAACAGCACATCATTGTGTAAGGAAAATAAAAAAAGCGCTGCAGTAAACTCTACCTGGGGCTGTGTGTGCTGGGGGGTGCTGTCCCCGGGGGCAGGGTGGTGCTGGTGCTGCCTGGGTTTGTCCCCGCTGAGTGACAAGGGGGAGCGGGGATGACATGGGGCTGGAGCTGCTGGGCGACAAGGGGGAGCGGGGATGACACGGGGCTGGAGCTCCCTGCTCCTCTTGCCAAGGAAGCTGTTGGTGAAGCTGCGATGGCGCTTTTGGGCTGGAAATAGCTGTTTGGGTGCCAAGGTGGGGTCTTGGGGATGGAGGGGTGAGGGTGGGTGCTGCCCTGGGGCCCGGTCATGGTGCACTTCCACCCTGCCTGGGGCAAAGCTCCGGTGCTGCCACAAGAACTGGTTTGGCAGAGCTGCCTCCAGTGTGGTGTGTCCTGGTGCCATGAGCGGCTCCCTGGTGCTCTGGGCAAGGGTGTGCGGGGAGGGGACACCCACCCCCCACCCCTGGGCCAGTGTGGGGCTGGAGCAGGGCTTGCTACTTCCCTGGAGGGGGGGAGGTCCAGCTGCTGCAAAGCTGGGGGGGCCTGGGGCTGTGCCCCCCCCCCCCCCCTTCACATCACATTACATCTCTGTAAGAGGATCCCTGTGTGTGTTATAATCATGAACTAGTAGCTGGACTGTTCATGCCTGTCTCAGTAGGTTTGTCTTCAGTACCAAGATATGCTGAAGAGAAATGACCAAAAGAGGAATAGGTAAAATAAATAAAACGGCTGCTCTCCTTTCTGAGGGGAGAAAGAGGAGCCTGCCAATTAATTACAGTACCCAAGGTCAGGCGGCGCCGCTGCGATTAGGCCCTTGCCAGGTCTGCTGCGAACACGGCTCTGCTCGTCCCTGCCCTCACCCCGCTCGCCGCCCTCCTGCGCCGTGTCAAATGCGGGGTCGGCGCGGGGGCACCGGGGAAACGCACTGGAGCCCCTCCGTCATCCGGATCCCGTCCAGCAGCCGTAGGGCGCAGCCGGGCACGGGCTGCTACATCCTCCCGGTGCTGGGCCAGTTCTCTCCCAAAGCTGGCCTCCTCTTGCCCCCTTCCCCGGCACCCTCCGCCCAGCCCGGTCCCTGGGGACGCTGCCCACCAGCCCGTCCCCTGCACAGGCATCTCCAGCCGGGCCGATGCTCTTCCTCCCCTCTTCATCGGTGCAAAGCGGGCGTGCACCAAAGCACCCGGCGTCCATCATGGCCGGGTGTCGGGGCGGGTGGGATTTGCTCCAGGGGCACCCGGCCGGCGTCGAAGCCCTCGGGGTGCTTGGGGTGGCCACGGGCTTGTGCAGATCCGCACCCGCCTGCCCGTCCTCAGTGTCCCCAGGAGAGCGGGTGACTGTGGGCACGATGGATGGCCGTGACCGCCGAGGGGGACAGCGGCACATCCATCACCCGGGAAGGGGGGTGTGCAGCGAGGCCGGGGAGCACTGCCTGCTCGGGGTGGGCATCACCGTGCCGCAAGGACACCGGCTGCAGTGGGGGGGGGGGGAGCTGAAAAAACTGTGGCTGGGGGTGCTCGGGCAGCCCAAAGCAGTGCCCAGCGCCGGCCCGAGGCCCCTCTGCTCGCTGGCGAGCGCTGCCGTGCTGCACGGCACCAGCTGCACGGCACCATGGTGTGGTGAGCCGCAAGGGTGCTGTGCCGGGTTGTGCCGTGCCGGGTTGTGCCGTGCCGGGTTGTGCCGTGCCGGGTTGTGCCGTGCCGGGTTGTGCCGTGCCGGGTTGTGCCGTGCCGGGTTGTGCCGTGCCGGGTTGTGCCGTGCCGGGTTCGTGGTGCCGGGTTCGTGGTACCACGTCGTGTTGTGTTGGACCGTGCCATGTTGTGCCACGCTGCTCCCTGCCGCATTGCCCCAGGCGCGGCCTCCTGGCGTGTCCCACGGTGCCACCACTGCCCGGCTGTCCCCAAAGCATCCCCGTTTGTCCTTGCCTGCACCAAGGCCATCGGAGCTGGCCAGGGACACTGCGCAGCCCCCGGCTGTTGATTTGGGGGTGCGGGGAAGGTGGGGGTGGGCGTGCACTCCTCGTTGAGGGAGGGGGATCACAGGGGCAGGATGGGGCCGTGGCGGGGCACAGTTTCGT